GCTGCAATGACATCACGCCACAATGACATCACGCAGCACTATAAATGTATAGATAGTATAAACTTCATTCTATCTATTATTTCTCTTTGCATTAACAGGTTGCTCAAACGACGACTTTATAAAGAAGAACTTGAGCCAAAATGGCCAACCCCTGATCTCTTTTGGGATTGGGATATGTGGATGAGGATGGACAGCAACAAAAAGGGACGTGAATGTATCATTCCGGATATCTCAAGAACCTACCATTTTGGCGCCAAAGGCCTGAATATGAATGTATTTTTTCAAGAATCCTATTTCAAAAAACATACGTTGAATACTGAACCTAACGTTAAGTTTAATGTTGGATTGTTGAAAAAAGAAAATTATGAGAAGGAGATTGAACGGCTTGTAGGGTATGTCTTGCAGGATTTTATAAAATATTGACAACAATATTTTTCTTTTCACAGGACAATGAAGGAGATTTCTACTTAGTGATTCAGTGATCTAATTATCATCATAGTGCGTATATTTATGTCATTTGATTGTTAGAGATGTCTATCTACTGTTTTTTACAGGTTGGCAGAGCCGTTGGATCACAGTAAAATCCTTGCAAGAACGAGAAAGACTTTGTTCCAGAAACATCTGATAAAACATATATATTTTATATTGAAATGAAACATGCTAACGACTGGACAACATGGAATAATATAGCGAGATGTTTACGAATCTGGGACTTAGATGCTCGAGGATTTCATAAAAGCATGTGGAGATTATGGTTAAAGGGTAATCACGTGTTAATTGTTGGATCACCGGCTTCACCTTACGCCAAACATAAACCAATTAACGTAAAACCTATTTTCATTCCTAAAAAATCGGAGACTGCGTGATCATCTTTGATTAGAGATATCATTCGTTTATCATGCGGGATTTAAGCTAAATGAATGTGGGGAAATCTTGAAGTTTAAAAAACTTTAATGTAAATGTGATTGGATAAATTTTCATCATGGTTTGATCAAGGAAATGAACTCGTTGAACAAGGAATATAAGAGGAAAAGATAACTTTCAATTTGTTCAGTTTTACTGTTAATAATGTAATTTTAAGGATTACAACCACGGAAAAGAAACAATCGCGCTTTTCCCACAAAACATTTACCGCATTTGAAAGTCCTGCTATCGTTACATCGCTAAAGATAATTATTTGAAAACGAACTTACCTCTCATTCTTTCCCTTTGTCCCATCCTATTAGGATTGCTAAAATGAATCACTTGCTACCATTTAGTTCTGTCAATAAAATTCTCTCGTTAAATTATTACATTACATTTTACAATGGCAAGTCATATTATTGCAATAAGCAGGGCTCCAATGTTCATAATAAGTATTGAGCACGACAAAAGCTTTTCTATAACATGTGGGTGATTCCCACGTGAATAAATTACAAGCTTTTGATATGCCTTCTAATTTATTTGTTGACGTAACAAGTTGAATAAAGGTGGTCAGGTGGGAGAAAAATGATAACTCTCCTAGCTATGGTGCATTGAATTGCGGTTTTGGGTGAGATAATTTTTTGTTCATACTAGATAAAATTTACCACAACACGACATGCTCTGTCTGCCGTCATAACCTTACAATCATTGATTTCGCAAACTCTTCATTGAGGAAACAAAAGAAATATTCTTTTGTTTTCTCCAAACCTCTGGGGAAAAGGCTTTGCTTTCTTTTACTAACCAATGTCGTTAGTTAACTTATAACCAGGCTTAATTCCTTTTGTCTTTGCCCTGCATATATTTTCATGCAATCAATGAATTTAATCCCTTTTTATCATGGTTTGAACAAAATTGACGAATGAATTAATAATTAATTCATGTGATATATGAAAGTTATCAGAAGAAAAGTAGGGTCTTTCACTTCGATAACCCTATTTGACCGAGCTGTTCGTCTGGGAAAGGTGAAAGTCTGTTGAAAGTCGAAGACAGCCTTCAAGAAATGCGACTACTTGTTGGAAAGGACGAGCAACTGAAGACATGACACGGTTGAGATATTTTAGCCATGTTTGAAAGCGGCAGGTTAAATACAGAAAAATCGTCGATGACATAAAGATGTAAGTTTGAGATCGATGAATTAAAATGTATAACCCAATTGTGATGTGAATTCTCGTTACAGCATATTCAAAGCATCGTTATGAGTCCTATTTGTTCGAAGGAATGATCGATTTCTTTGGTTTCTTAGTATTTCTATGTTTCGATCTTGGAGCACAAAATGCCGTCAAGTTTCAGTTACATATTGAAGTGAGAACACGAACGAAACTGCCAAAAGTTTCCCACTATTCTTGACATCAATTATTGGACCTCTTCAATACATGTCCAGAAAATATTTTCATTTTTGCATTCATCGTTATCATTCACATAAGTGTGATGATTTTGCATTTTGCCTATTTCTAACAACTGGCCATTGTTAGAAATAGCAAGTTCAATCCTTTGTCTTTGTGACAAAAGGATATAATATTTTATGTCTCCCGAGCAGGGCCGGATTAAGATGTGTGGAGGCTCTGAGCAGCAAAATACGTAGTAAAGATCCCTTTCCCTTACTCTAAACGCAATGTGCTGCTCATTTTCAACAGTAAAATTTACTTTCAAATTTCGTAAAGCATTTGATAAAAGTATAAACTTCGAATATAGCGTGTAAAGCGGTTGCATACGACGAGTGAATGCTGCTACTTGAGATAAAGTAGTTATTGCGATTTTATTCTGGCAGTCTTTGATAAGTTCTTCCAAGTTTATTTCTGTTAGAATATTGTCCTCAATGCTCATCAGAGCAAAATGGCTGAGTTTACTGTGATTCGTTGTCATACGTGGTCTGTTCTTCATCAGCTGAAATTGATCCAACAAATAAACTAAATGCTTTTCCTTCGTCTTTAAAGCAACTATGTTTATTCTTCCTTTGAATAATGTGAAGGCCCTTGTTTGTGGAGGCTTCTAGACAGCTTCCTTTGGTTAATCCGTCCCTGCTCCTGAGAGGAACTACTGTAGCATCAAGTGATGTTATAGTAGGTGAGATAAAAGTGGGTAATTCACTTGAGAAACGTTCAAATGAATTACCTCAAATATATATTATAGAGTATACAAGATATTGCAACATGGGGCAAAATGTTGCTGAATCTTCAAATGCGATGATGTTTTATAAACCTTCGTACCTTACCGTAATAATTAAACAACCTTTTCAATGAAATCGAGCAGAGAATATATTGCATGAGACATTCGTTAATTATCTTGTTTTTATCTAGGTATTTTTGAATTATATCGCATGTAATAAATCGTTTGACAATGTTACAGAACACTGCATGTGTTATAACATTGAGGGGTGTTACAGCACAATGCACGGTTCAAACGATAAGCTTTCCGCGAGTCTTATAATCTTCAAAGAGTTGTTCACTTAACATACATGTTCAGTCATGTACAGTGTCGAGCGTACGGACAGTGAAAGAACGCGAACTCTGGCAGTGGTATGTGCTAAACAATTGTTTGTTTCCATTAAACAAATAACTCCTTCTTCAGTCTTTTTTTAGGTACAAGAGATGAAGATCAGGAAGAAGATAGAGGAGTACGTTATTATTTTTCCTGTCCTTATCTTAACTTGTTTTAGATTTTCGTTTAGATGAGGAGGAGGCTGATGAAAAGTAGAGGAGGATGCTGACGGAGACAAGAAGGATGCAGATGAAGAGACGAGGATGCAGATGAAGAGAAAAGGAGGATGCAGATGAAGAGACGAGGATGCAGATAAAGAGAAAAGGAGGATGCAGATGAAGGGACGAGGAGGATGAAATGAATGGACAAGAGGATCAAGAACGGACAAGGAGGATCAAGAAGGATATAGAGAAGTATGTCATAATCGTAATTTGGTACTTCGTTTAGATGAGGAGGATGCTAATGCAGAAACGAGGAGGATGCAGATGAAGAGACGAAGATGCCGATGAAGAGAGGAGAAGGATGCAGATGAAGAGAGGAGGATGAAGAGGATGGAGGAGAGATGAAGAGACGAGGAGGATGCAGATGGAGAGAGGATGAAGAGGAGAGGATACCGATGAAGAGACGACGAGGATGCAGATGAAGAGACGAGGAGGATGCAGATGAAGAGACGAGGAATTCAAGTGAATTATCTCGATTATATATCATAGAATATTTGTATATTAATATATAATTGAGGTAAGTCATTTGATATTGCAACATGCGGGCAGAATGTTGCAAAATCTTTAAACTCGATAGTCTTTTATTAACCTTAGTGCCTTACCGTAATAATCAAACAACCTTTTGGATGAAATCGACAAGATTTGAGTAGAGAATATATTGCATGAGACATTCGTTAATTATCTTGTTTTATCTAGGTATTTTTGAATTATATCGCATGTAATAAATCGTTTGACAATGTTACAGAACACTGCATGTGTTGTAACATTGAGGGGTGTTACAGCACAATGCAAGGTTCAAACGATAAGCTTTCCGCGAGTGTTATAATCTTCAAAGAGTTGTTCACTTAACATACATGTTCAATCATGTACAGTCATGGATATCGATGTTTTAGCATGATAGAACTATAACAATGTGAAAGCACGATCTCCATAATCACTTGCTATGATTTTCATTCAACAATTTTTGTTGCATTTATGTGGACATGTCGGGCTTACGGACAATGAAAAACACGAACCATAACAGTGGTATGTGCTTACAATTGTTTGCTTCCATCAAACAAATAACTTCTTCTTCAGTCTAGTTTTAAGCACTAGAGACGATGATCAAGAAGAAGATAGAGAAGTATGTTATTTTTTTCCTGTCATAATCTTAACTTGATTTTTAGATGTTTCGTTAAGATGAGGAGGATGCAGATGAAGATACAAGGAGGATGCAGATGGAGAGACAAGGAGGATGCAGATGGAAAGACGAGGAGGATGCAGATGAAGAGACGAGAAGGATGCAGATGGAAAGACGAGGAGGATGCAGATGAAGAGACAAGAAGGATGCAGATGAAGAGACGAGGAGGATGCAGATGAAAGACAAGGAGGATGCAGATGGAAAGACGAGGAGGATGCAGATGAAGACAAGGAGGATGATGGAAAGACGAGGAGGATCAGATGAAGAGACAAGAAGGATCAGATGAAGTCGATGAAGACAAGGAGGATCGATGGAAAGACGAGGAGATCGCAAGAAGGATGCAGATGAAGAGACGGGATCAGATGGAAAGAAGAAGGATCGATGAAGAGACGAGGAGGATGCGAGGAGGATGGATGGAAAGAAAGTCGGAGGTGTGGAATCGAAAGATCGATGGAAAGGAAAGGATGGATCGGGAATATGGAAGAAGGAGGGATGGAAGAAAGGATGGATGGAAAGACGAGAAGGATCAGATGCGATGGAGACGAGAAGGATGGAAGAGACGAGAAGGATCAGATGGAAAGGCGACAGATGGAAAGAAGAGGAGAGATGGAAAGAAGAAGATGCAGATGGAAAGAAGAGGAGGATGCAGATAGAAAGACAAGGAAGATGCAGATGGAAAGACGAGAAGGATGCACATGAAGAGACGAGAAGGATGCACATGAAGAAACGAGAAGGATGCACATGAAGAGACGAGGAATTTAAATCAATTACCTCAATTATATATTACAGAATTGTATATTCTGTAATATATAATTGAGGTAATTAAGTTAATTCATTTGATATTGCAACATGCGGGCAGAGTGTTGCAAAATCTTTTATAAACCTTAGTGCCTTACCGAAATAATTAAACAACCTTTTGGATGAAATCGAAAAGAGTTGAGCAGAGAATATATTGCATGAGACATTCGTTAATTATCTTGTTTTTATCTAGGTATTTTTGAATTATATCGCATGTAATAAATCGTTTGACAATGTTACAGAACACTGCATGTGTTATAACATTGAGGGTGTTATAACACAATGCACGGTTCAAACGATAAGCTTTCCGCGAGTCTTATAATCTTCAAAGAGTTGTTCACTTAACATACATGTTCAATCATGTACAGTCATGGATATCAATGTTTTAGCATGATAAAACTATTACAATGCGAAAGCACGATCTCCATAATCACTTGCCATGATATTGTTGTTGCATTTTATAGACATGTCGAGCGTACGGACAGTGAAAGAACGCGAACCCTGGCAGTGGTGGGTGCTTACAATTGTTTGTTTCCATCAAACAAATAACTTCTTCTTCAGTCTTTTTAGGTACAAGAGATGAAGATCAAGAAGAAGATAGAGGAGTACGTTATTATTTTTCCTGTCCTAATCTTAACTTGTTTTAGATTTTCGTTTAGATGAGGAGGAGGCTGATGAAAAGAAGAGGATGCTGACGGAGAGACGAGGAAGATGCTGACGGAGCTACGAGGAGGATGCTGATGGTGCTGCGAGGAGGATGCTGATGGTCCTGCGAGGAGGATGCTGATGGTCCTGCGAGGAGGATGCTGATGGTCCTGCGAGGAGGATGCTGATGGTCCTGCGAGGAGGATGCTGATGGTCCTACGAGGAGGATGCTGATGGCGCTACGAGGAGGATGCTGATGGCGCTACGAGGAGGATGCTGATGGCGCTACGAGGAGGATGCTGATGGTGCTACGAGGAGGATGCTGATGGTGCTACGAGGAGGATGCTGATGGTGCTACGAGGAGGATGCTGATGGCGTTACGAGGTGGATGCTGATGAAGCAACGAAGAGGATGCTGATGGAGCGACGAAGAGGATGCTGATGGAGCGACGAAGAGGATGCTGATGGAGCGACGAAGAGGATGCTGACGGAGAGACGGGAAGCATGCTGATGGAGAACAAGATGAAAAACAAGATGAGGTATAAAAATTTTTTTATTTGTTTCACTGACTTGTAACTTAGTGACTTCAGTCTTTTTTCAGGTTTATGTGTTTGTTTTTATTGTGTCGCTAATTTGTTCTTTGGCTATCTTTTAGATTTTTAAGAAATCTTGGATTTTGAGAGAGCATATATACTCTGTTGAATTCGGCGTATTCTTACTAAGTCAGAGAGTTCCCTCGCTCTCTGACTTAGAAAACGAATTTTGTGGTAAAGTATTTCAAAGTAGGCTCCTGCCACCTATTTTGGAATAATGTTGTACAAATTTCTATTAAGTAATGATTTTAGAATAATAATGTTGATTGAAAAGCATTTATGCCGTGATGAATAAATAACATCCATCGGTAGTTTTGAAACGACTGTCAGCTTAAAATATGCATATGTATTTAAATTAAACATGGTCACCATGCCAGCAAGTGTCAGCGTTTGATAAATGTTTTTCGAAATACGCTTTTCAATGCAATATGGAAATTTGTCATCATAACGTGCACAAAATCGCTGTTTGGTAATAATATATACGCAATTTTAACAAATATTTAATGTTTGGGGCTGTTTTCATTCAACCGTAGCTATAGTGTGTTTTCTTTTGACGTCATATAAGCCATGTTGGGAGAGTACATGAGAGTGTCGAAGCTCAGCAAAGCATAAAATTAGCAGAAATTCTTTTCACTGTATGGAATTTTGCCCCAACATGGTAACTGATGAAAACAATTTAGAGGAAGAAATCATTAAGGTGTAAAATGATTTTTCATCAGCTAGCAATCCATTTGGGACTTTTCACAGTATTTTTAATTCACGAAAATTTACATAAAACGTACAAAATGACATACCTCGCAACAAGTATAAAACATGTGAAAATTGATCATCAAATTTACTGGCATTTCCCCAGTATAGTAGCGGCATCTTCTTTCATGTTTAGAGATTATTTTACACCTCAATGTTTTCTACTCTCATGTCCTTAGACCCAAAAAAAAATTTACATCTGTAATGTAATGTATGATAAACTTAGGAATAAATTTAAGAGAAAGGAACTTCTCAAACGACTTCCAGTAATATGTAAGTTTTAGCAAGTAAAATGTTCGTACAATAAATTATAAAAAACTGTGACTTGTGATGGATTTGTTGTTTCATGGCAAGACTCTTTCTTTCTTATTTATCAAAATCAACTTGGATATCGCAGTTTGGCCCTCTATGGTTTTTAAACCTAAAGTCATAGACAAGCAGGAACAATATGTTACTTTGTCTTACAACGTATTTTTGTCAAATTATCTTTTTCTCATTTTCTGGCACATTTATCAAATGGGGAATGAAATATACATTGAATAACAGTTCCATTTGACTTATTAAAAACAACATTGCAGTGGGTATGTGGTCAAGTCATATTTAACATATCTAATTGTCTATCGTATTCTTTAACATCGATATGATATCGTTTACATAGAAGAATGTCATGTGACTAATGTTTTATCCATATATCTGGATCTGGTGAAGTCAAATTGGCAAGTCGATACAGTTGAATTGAATCAAGCTAAAGTGTGCATGTAGCTTCTATTTATATTAACTGCTATTTTTCCAACAAAATGATATGCACTGCAAGTCATTCGAAGGGCAAAGAAACAAACTGTAAAGAGTAAAATAAAACCATTTTTTTTAATAATTCCTGCAGAAGAACACGATGAATTTTCGCTAAAGATAATTATTTGAAAACCAACTAATCTGTTTCTTTGTCTTTCCCTTTATCCCATCCTATTAGGATTGCTAAAATGAATCATTTGCTGCTACCATTAAGTTCTGTTTACTCCATACTCTTGTGTAAAACCACTAACAGTTATTTTCAAAAATCATCTCAAAAACACCTGAAACTTCTTAATTACCCTTAACTATCCTTTTAAATTACGTTAATAATCAAAAATTGCATCATATGTGGTAGGTACATACATATTTCTAGGGTTTATCGCTCTTGCAATATCCTTAACTAAAGCATATAAAAACACTACATAATAATTCAAACAAAAAACTAGTACAACGTACTTTAAACGTTCCTTTTTTTAAGAGTTCAATGCGAGAATTTAATTGTACCATTTTGGACGTTATGAACTTTTGCTTTAGTCTGAGGACATTGGAAGGATTAACTATTGGAGAAGAAATTATATAATCTGATTTTGATATAAGAAATCATAACCCTTGCAAGACACTGGAAGTCCACTCCACCCCCCTTTACCCATTTCTGAAAAAGATTTTGTTGTTCATAAAGAATATCTTCAGAGGTCATTCATTTCTGTTTTGCATGGATGTGAATAAATATTCCATGTAGAACAACACCGAAAAACGGACCAAAGGCCGCCAGAATAAAAGCCTGGAAGGTTGGAAGGCTGTAACCAAAGATTTTCAAACCTTGTGCTGTTTTGACGTATTTACACATGCGTCTTATGGCGTACATATGGAAGAAGATGTATCCTTTCTTTTCTTGCTCTTCTAAATCACAGTCCTCGATAACTTGATAGGCTTGGTTTAAGCGGTTTTGAAGGCGAACCATCAAACCAATAGGAAGCAAGTAAAGCAACAATGATTCAAGTGTCTTCATGATGGTTTTAACTAGAAATGTTTTTTAAGAGCAGAAAATGCAACATGAGAAACACTTGGAAGGCAAATCCAGTTCTACGAATAGCTGTTTTTATTTTGCAGAACTTTTTCCTCGCTTCATTCTCGCCACTGCTGATAACGTCGTGGTTTATTTTTTCATCGGGGCCTAAACAAAAAATGTATATAACATGAATAAATACGTTAGTTTACCTTAATACACATAGTTTGAATGCAAAGGTTACAAATAAATTACCAGCAAACTGTCTAACGTCACGTTCGAAAATATAAAAGTTTTAAACTTAAGTCAATAAAAACCGATGACAGATAATTAAAATGTTTTTAAATATCAATGCTTAGTCGTTTGTTTTCGAAGTTTCGATTTCGGTTTCAACCAGACATGACACTTCGCACAAATTCTTCGTAATTCACTTGTCCTTTCTGTTCCAAGCCACTTGTCAACATGTCGGCGTCTTCAATGGTCAATTTATCTCCTAATGTAGTCAAAACTTGTCGACGTTCAGCACAACTGATATTCCCAGAGCAATCCTTATCGAAAACACGGAGGCATTCAACGAATTCTTGAGGTTTAACTTTCCTCGATTTTTGCTTGCAAGAAAGTGCAATTGGTATAAGATCTTCGTGGGTTATACGCTTGTTTCCAGAAGGATCAAGTTGAACAAGAAATTTCTGAACTTCGCTTTCTGTAGGATTCTCACCGATCGCTCGTAGGATATCAGCTAAAGCACTAGAATCAACTTTTCCATCACCCATAGTATCATACAAATCTATAGCATCTTTCATTGCATTTATATCACGTTCGCTTAACGAAGACATTTCTGATTTCTTTCAGAGGCAGAGCAGTTGACTCAAAATTTCCTTGTTTACAACACAACGGAGCATACATAAATATTAAATCTAGAATGTGAACGAATATTTAATTAGGTATGTGTTATTCGATTTATTTCAATAGTTGGAGGATAATAATGAATATGAGAGAAATCCTTTCCTGTTCAAGTACGCACGTAACGTTATAATCTAATTCACCTAAATATTTGGCAGAAATAAAAACAGAAAAAAGATATTTTATTCACCATTCTACAATTTTATTTTGATAATAATGACCTCCTACGCAGTTCTTGTCTTAGGTTAGCTGTGTGTCAAGATGGCGGTCGACGTGGCAATTAAATTGCAATCACCATTCATGAATATTTACTAGAATCAAGTGATTTAGTGATGCGAGTATTTTGAATGAAACGAAAGGACTTCATTAAGATGCCATTCATGGAAGGGGCGCTTTGGAAGTGGACAAATTATGTTACTGGTATATAAATTTATCTTTCGATAGAAGTTTATTTATTAAATAATTAAGTGGGTGGAATTTCTTAAGAATACATTCTTTTCACGGCTCCATTTTGTGCACCTGCAAAGCTCTCATTATTTCATATGCTATAGCCTACGCAGGTGGTCAATACTTTTAGGTCAAAGTGGATTGGTGTGGTTTACCAAAAATGTAGATTCGATTACTGAGATATCACTGGTGTTTAGAATCAATTTTAAATTTGGTTAGTCCCTAAGTCAAATTTCTTCTTTGGGAGAGAATTAGTTTGGGAATCAAATCAAATAGTATGGTGTCATAACTTAACGAAAACTACCATGAATGGAGGTTTGCGATACATAAATTTATATAAACTTGTTTCATTCTCACTAATTCTCGGAATTCCCCACTTCTAGGATCATGTGATCGTCATGAATAATTTGGTTAGCACTATTTTCCACCCAGCAAACCGCCCTTTACTTTGAAATATAATATTTTACACAATATAATATTTTACGCAATCTAATATTTTACACAATATAATATTTTATATAATATTTTACACAATCGTCGAAAAACGACATTTTCCAGCCTGGATTATAAGTTTATAACTTAAGGTGGTTGCATGAAAATTTATACTGCAACATTTATCGCTAAATATTTTCATATATGTTGATATTAAAAACTGTATTATAAAAAGATAAAATTACTCGCCATCTCAAAACGACCTAGCACCAGTGCATGCATGGTTTCCTTTTAGCTTTTGGTTCTTTCCATTAGCCGCCATCTTTAATTTATTTCTGATTGTGTAAAGTAAAGGGCGGTTTGCTGGGTGGAAAATAGTGCTAACCGAATAATTTGGGGCAAAGAGCAACATTGTTTCAAACCATTGCAACGAACCATACGCCCAATAGCGTAAATGGTAAAGTTTAGAATAGCATACTACGATGGTTTTTGCAATGCATTCTGGGATCGCCAGGGGGCAAACATTGTGTATTATAAAGATATCTTTTCGTAAAAAGTTTATATTCAAATTATAATGGGAATAGGGATCACAGTGCTGTTTATGGCTGTGATAACGATAGGAGATATCCTGAAAAATATATCGTTTCCCATCACGTTGGTATTCTTAGCTTTTTTCTCCGAAAAACGAAAGACAAGAGTGCTTGGCAAAGCTGATCAACAGGAAAAACTTCAAAGTCACTACTAATACGATGGTTTGTTCTAATCATTTTCTTGCTGGTTATCGATCCGAAGGCTTTCCCAATCCAACTTTGTATCTGAAAGGATACCAATCAAAAGAAACCAGTAAACGATTACCGCCGAAAGATAGAAGCAAATCAAATATTCCTAAAATAAAAGAGACGAAAAGTTCTCTGTGAAGGCAGTACTTAAAACGCTTTGAGCATGAGGATAAGGCATTTTTTGCTGCTGAACTCACTGCTCCTGAGCAGTGTACTGAGCCAGAGTCTGTGCTCCAAGACAGTCCACAAATAAATTGTGCAACAGACTTGGATGTTACAAGTTATGATTCTGATGATAGCTACAGCTTTAAAAGTGATAAACATGACCTCATTGACTGTTATTGCCAGGGCGATGTTAAAACATTGAAAAGAAACTTATTTATTGAACAAGCTATTTCCCAGATACCTAAGATACCTGGTAGCCTGAAAATATCATGGAGCAGCTATAAGTCACCAACTCTGGTCTCATAAACTTGCTAGAAAAAGGTGATGGTGTCATGGCTGATAAAGGATTCCTTGTTAGAGATCTACTTGTGGTGAAGAAAGTTCACCTTATTTCTCCTGCCTATTGTCATGGAACAACTCATACTCGGCGTGCTGCCTCATTAAGATCTCATGTCGAAAGGAATATAATGAAACTAAAGCAATTTCAGATTTTATCAGGAGTTATTCCATTGACATTAAAACCAGTTTTGGACAACATTTTGTTTCTGTGTACATATGTAATTTAGGAAAGTGTGGTATAAAGTAATCCTCACACAATCTAAAATAAATTACACTTAATATTTTTATTTTGAAAAGCTATTATTTGTAAATATAAAATTTTATCATTGCACATATTTCAATAAAAGACTACTAATCATATAATTCTTATAGAAAAGAAACACAGTTTTAAATACATCACTCCAGAAGTCAGCATCAAATGGTAATTGCACTATATCACTTCCTTTTCTGTAAATACAATAAAATCACAATTGTCGATTTGGCTTATAGCCATACACATTTGGACTTGAAAGTAATATAAATGGTTCCTGTTCAACACTTTCTTTCCACTATCATTAGTTTTCCCACAAATAGCTGTTGAGAAAAATGCAGATTTGGGATGCATATTCCTGGATGTTAGAGGGCACTTAATTTCAAGTGTCCTTGAACCACAGCATTCACATTGGTATATTCATACAAACTCACTATCACTTTTGGGTTTGGATTGGCAGGATAATGTTTTAGGTTTTGATGGACAAGGTACAGTTCTAGTTTTGAGTGGAGGTGATTGGTCATTAGAAACAGATGGTTCTTTCTTAAGTTCAAGATAAACCAACACTGGTGGTTGGTATTAATTGGCAGATATTGTGCGAGACCACAACTATAGATAGGTTGCAAAAGATTGAAATGGGAAGCAGCTCTGTGAAAGATATGCAAGACCAAAATGATTGGACCATCACAAATTCGATCACATTTTAACAATGGACGTAACATCAGGCGAGGAGTGAAATAAAACTATTTCTGCTCAAGCATAGCATAAACACAAATTTCATGCTGCAAGGCCGTGGCTCAAACGTACATATCCACTGTTTCTCACCACGAAGCGGACATAATGCTTCACTCCAGATGCCTTTCCATCGATTCGTATCGAAATAAATACGGTCGAAAAGTAGCCGGATTTTGTATCAAAACATCGTTACACATTTCTAGAATATGAGCTAAGTTTTCGTCACTTTCACCGTTTATAACCAACGCAACTGCTCGATAGAAGTAATTGCCGTCTCCACATACTTTTACTTCTTTTCTCCCAACTGGTAACTGATACCCATTACAATGGAAATGGTGCTTTAAATTGAGAATTCTCGAAAATATCACTATGACAGATATATTTCTAAACAAATGTTTGCCCCCTGGCGATCCCAGAATGCATTGCAAAAACCGCGCAAATTTAAGGGAGACTGGCAACCGGCAAATACTTCATTGGACTCCCTTATACGTCCGGCCACCCCTCTTATCAGTCGAGACCATTCTAGACTGTCCACTGATCTGGCCATTGACCAATAAAATAAGCGGTTTTGGCGTTCATAGACTCCTTTATCCGTCGAACCAGTCAAGCCACCCCGCTTATCAGTCGGTTATTCCAGGTCAATTAAAATTCAACTGATCTGGTTACCAACGAGATATTCATTGGATTAGTCATTAGTTTTTAATAAATAAAGCTGGATTTTAATCACGAAGTAAATGCGATAATAAAGTAAGAATAATTAATGATTTTTAATTAATATGTATAGGTAATTTTTGAATTTCAAACATTAGTCGCGCGACGGATTTGACATACTCTAGATCCGCTCCTGCGTATGGACGAGAGATTCTCGCCACTATAGTAGTTTACTGGATGGCACCGTGTTTCGACTTTATTCCAAAGCCATCATCAGAAAATACATATAAGATATTAATCCTAACACAGTTTTAATATGCACATGAAAAACATGTGACTTGGACGAGATTTGAACTCGCACTTTTGGGATACTAGTCCGCCGCTCAACCTGTTGAGCTACCAAGCTGACAGAGATTGGAGACGAGTCAAATCTCTTAAAACTGCATATGGACGAGAGATTCTCGCCACTATAGTAGTTTACTGGATGGCACAGTGTTTCGACTTTATTCCAAAGCCATCATCAGAAAATACATATAATATATTAATCCAGTTTTTCATGTGCATATTAACACAGTTTTAATATGCACATGAAAAACATGTGACTTGGACGAGATTTGAACTCGCACGTTCGGGATACTAGTCCGCTGCTCTACCTGTTGAGCTATAGTTTACTGGATGGCTGACTAGTATCCTGAAGGTGCGAGTTCAAATCTCGTCCAAGTCACATTTTTTCATGTGCATATTAAAACCGTGTTAGGATTAATATATTATATGTATTCTCTGATGATGGCTTTGAATAAAGTCGAAACACGGTGCCATCCAGTAAACTACTATAGTGGCGAGAATCTCTCGTCCATGCAGTTTTAAGAGATTTGAATCGTCTCCAATCCCTGTGGGCTTGGCAGCTCAACAGGTAGCGCGACGGACTAGTATCTCGAAAGTGTGAGTTCACATCTCGTCCAAGTCACATGTTATTATGTGCATATAAAACCGTGTTAGGATTAACATATTATATGTATTCTCTGATGATCGCTTTGAAATAGAGACTTTGTCGTGGTGACACTTAAAACAAAGACAGATTAAATAGGGATGACATTGACCTTTTGTAACATTATAAATATAGCATGATTTGGAGTTTCTCATTTAGCAGACGTTGACACCTGACGAGTAGTCTGCCGAAATGCATAGTGTCTCTTTCTAGCTGTAAATAACGGTTCCTTTGA